AAGAAGAAGAAGAAGAAGAAGAAGAAGAAGAAGAAGAAGAAGAAGAAGAAGAAAAGAAAAAACAACAACAACAACAACAACAACAACAACAACAACAGCATCATTATATTAAGTGATTACAACTTCAAAAGAAAGTTTGCGAAACAGAACAAAAGCAATTCATTTTTCTTTGTCGTGCGGATGTGCCTGGATGTCAGATATTGTTTACAAAAAAAGCAATTTGATAGCCAAATCATGTCATTTTGTTTTGTTCAGAACCCTTCTTTTTTCTCTTAATAGATTAATATATGCAAATCTGTTGTCAAGCTTAAGGTCGAAGGTCAGTTGTACATTTGGTTTGGAGCTAATAGAGCGAATAAGTGTCAATTGCAATTGCGTACGTCACAATAGACAGTTGTGCATAATTAAACAAACCGGGTGAACTTGGCTTGAACCCAGTGTGCAAATTTTCCAAGTTTTGCGAAAAAAATTAACATAATCTATAGCTGTATTATAAAAACTGATTTTTTACTCGGAAAAGTTTGAAGCACAGCGGGCCTTTGTTAAGGTTTTGTGCATGGTCGGCGTTGATAATCAAGTTCTAGATGGGCCACTTTTCATTAATAAGCATTGAAATTACTTCTTTTTTTTACCAGCTTCTATGAATTGAATTCAGTTTGCTATGGGGATTTTGTTGTTGGTTTTTGGGGTTGTTCGGGTTTTTATCTTAATTTTTCAAAGAGGAAGTATAACCCGTTGAACATAGCTACAGATTTATGCGCAAAAGAAAAAAAAATTATGATTATATAATCAACAATAAGGCAGGGTCATTACACATTTCTGTTACAATTTCCCTCAAAAACTCAAAAACGTTCTATATTAACGAATGGCGAGTGTGTCAGCCTGCTAGCTGTGGGAGAAGAAATTTTGAATGGGAAGGGCTGGGGGGACTCGGTTGGGAAATAAAACTTTCCAGAAAATGATTTCTTTATTTAGATTTTATTTAAATTGGGGGTGAGGGATTAGGGACTAAATCATTGCATAATCTATTTCTTTTCAGGCAATCCTGAACCATGTTTGATCACAAACGATAACTCAGGGTTGGTCGGTAATAAATGGGGGTTTTTTTTAAATCATTGTATTTTATTTTGTATCTACCTGTTGGCAGAAGTGATGCAAATTTTTCGTGAAATGAAAAATGAGTATTCAAATAATAAATTGATAATTAAAAAATATTTTTGAAAAGGGTAAACAAGGGTGTATGGGGGTGGAGGGGTATTGAAATGTTAATATTTCCGGCATGAGTGTTTAATGACTTTTTTTCTGCTGTCGTCTCTCTCTGCTCGAGTTTGTATTTATGTATGTAGTATAGGGTTTTACGGCGCTCGCTGCTCGAGTTTGTCGTCAAAGATTTTGTGTTGATTTCTGATTCAGGCTTATCAGCATGCGGAATTTTTCTGGTCCGATTAAGTAGATTAGAAGAAGAAGGAGATAGGTAGGTAGGTAGGTAGATAGATAGATAGATAGATAGATAGATAGATAGATAGATAGAGAGAGAGGAACAGAGAGGAAGAGAAAGGGAGAGACAGAGAGACAGAGAGTCAGAGAGAAGAGATTTTTAAAAATACTGACATTCAAAGAAGAGAGACAGATATATTTACACAAAGACCTTTTTGGCAATTGGTAATGAATACATGAATACAAAAACACTATTTCTTGGGGGGTGGGAGGGAGGGGGGTTCTAGAAAGAAATTCACGGCACTTGATGTAAGTGTCGATAAATAGAGGTGGTACAACAGAGTTACAAACACAAAAAAGAAGAAGGGTAGATAAGGACGATAGTATGTTTGATACTAAAAAAAGGAGCAAGCCACACCAGAGCACCCGCCAACCACGCATTGTGTTATTTAATTTGTAAAGGTACTGTGCTTTTTGTCAGTACGATAACGCTATCGCCTCTTTCTGAATTTTCCAAATTGTTAAAATCAGTGTGTTTGTTCAATGTAGGAATTGCTTCCAAACGTTAACATTGGACTTACACCAATCCTTGACGAGACTGTGGCGATTCAGACACAGTGTGCTTGAATAGGAAGTTTGAGGCCACCCCCCCCCCCCCTTTTGAGGTGAGTGGCCACCCAATGTTAACGCCTCAAACCACTGCGTTAACATTAGGTGGCCACACTGCAAGCAGAGCAGAGCGGGCGGTGCAATTCAGCGTCGTGTGGTGTTATATTTTCATATCAATTTCAGTTGCCCAAGGATAAATGATTGTCGTTATTTGTCCTGGTTGGAAGACTCAACAGAAAAAAACAGGAAAGGAATGGGAGCACCTGATCAACCGACAGCAAATTCTTTTACTGATACATGAATAAAAAGAGGGTAGGTAGAGGGAAAGTACAGTTCTAGGACAAATATACTCAGAAATCCAACAGGCAAGGGATACAGGTAATATCAGGAAAATGTTTGAAAACACCAGAGTTGCTATTGGACCAACAGCAAACAAAAGTGACACCTCTAAACAGCTGACAGACAAGAAAAAACAAATGAGAAGATGGGTGGAACATTATTCATACTTATACTCAGAGGATAGACAGCTACATGAAGCAATTCCTCAGTTCTCCGAAATGTTAGAACTTGATACAACACAAACAAAAGAAGAACTCTCTTCTGCAATCGATGAACTCCCTTGCAGAAAAGCAGCAGGAAATGACAACATACCTGCCGAAGTGCTGAAAATGTACAAAGAGACCCTCCTCCCATATCTCTACAAGCTACTAAAGCAGAAATTCCACATGACACGAGAGATGCCAAAAATCACCACATTCTACAAAAACAAAGGAGAGAAAGGAGATTGAAACAACTACAGAGGTATCTCGCTGCTTACCATCTTTGGAAAAGCTTTAGCTAGGATCATCCTGAAGCGACTTCAGAAACTAGCAGAAAGAGTCCTATCAAGGAGCCAATGCGGTTTCAGATCAAACCGCTCAACAATGGACATGATCTTTCCTATTTGTCAGCTACAAGAAAAATGCAGGGAGCAGCAACTGCCATTACATACTGCGTTCGTCGATCTGACAAAGGCTTTCGATACAGTCAGTAGATCAGGACTGTACATGGCGCTTGGAAAAATTGGCTGTCCCCCAATACTACTACAGCTTATCATCTCATTTCACGGAGATATGAAGACCACCATTCAGTTTGACGGTTCAACATCAAGCAGCTTCAATATCAGTAACGGAATAAAGCAAGGTTGTGTCTTAGTACCATTGACATCTATAAAAACAACGTATCTTAGCTTGAGTAGATGTTAGCATGTGGGAAGAAATAGCTGAAGACAGGAAAACATGGAGGAAAATGATAAAGGAAATAACTATAATACAAGAGAGCAGCCTTAGAAACAACTAGGCTGAGAAGCGCCAACGACGAAAGCAAAACAGCGGAAATACAGAGCTTTGATCCACCTCATTGACCTGCAATCACTACGAAAGAATCTGCGCTTCAAACATAGGAAGAATTAGTCCTGAAAAAAGCTACAAGAAGACACCCTTGAGATCATCTTAAGCTAAATTGACCGCCTGCATAGACGAAAAGAGTCATGAACACAGTGAAAGAAGGATCAGACATATAGTACGAGGGAGAGGCATCTAAATACTTTTTTAAAGTTTCTTTTTAATTATCTTTCATGTTTTATCCTGTTGTGGTGAATGGGAAATGGGAACATGATAATCCTAGAATCCTCAGCGTGTTTAAAAGCAAATCAGTAAATACGCAGAAAGTTTTAAAAACGTAACTTAAAACACATAGACACGCATACGCAAACACACGAATACATACATTCATATACACACATAAAACGTAATAATACATTATACATAACAAACGACGACCTGTGTCTGATGTGTTGCGGTTAGGCACTCCATTGTCTCATGTAGAAGACCCGAGTTTGATTCCCGAGTGAGCAAGGATTTTTGTCTAGTATTTCGTTCTTTCTGCTTGGATGTTGTATCACTGTCAGCCTGATTTGTGTGTGTGTGTGTGTGTGAGAGAGAGAGAGAAAGAGAGAGAGGGGGGGAGAGAGAGAGAGAGAGAGAAAGAGAGAG